CTGCGGCCCGCGATCACCCCGGCCCTGCCCACCGAGCGAGCCCGGGCGGGAGCTGCTGCTGTGGGGTCCCGCTGGCAAAGCCTGGCCTGTCGGTCTTGGGCGGTCGGTCGTCATCTTCCCCAGTCCCTGCGGGGGTTTAGGGGAACCACCCCTCTCCCCGAACTGGAGGGTCCCCAGAAAGATTAAGCCTGGGCAGATAACGAGATCAAAACCGGTATGTGGTTTCTTGGGGTGCAGGCTCTTGCTGCACGACCCCCCGCCCCCGAAAGTCGCCCTCACCCCTGGATCCCGAGGACAAAGGTCTGGAGAGGTCCGTCCCCTCCCCCAGCGAGGAGACCGGGAAAGACCCGCGGGTGTCGTACCCAGGTGAGCGTCCAGCTCCTTTCTGCCAGACAGACCTGACTCCGCGCTAGGCAACCTTTCCCTTCTGTATTTAAGACGAGTAAACATAAAAGTTTGACAGTCTGCTTAAGGACGTCTGGTAACTCGTTTGTCACTGTAGGCACGGGAAACGCTTCTTAAACCTGATTTGGCTAGAGTCGGTTAATTTAATGCGCTAGGCGGCTTGCTAAAAGATGCGTGACAAATGGCAACTTCACACTCAGATGTAATCAAACTGGCTGTTTTGATTTTGAAAAATAAATTTAAGAAAAACAGGTTCCTTTGCCCACCCCTTTTTGCCTATAAATTGGAAAGCTTACCTCACATGACTGAAATCCCAAGCGCCAATATTTAATGATGTTTATAGAGGATGTATGGATAGACTGCTTTCAAATGTAAAGATGAATGACATATTTTGAAAGCGTTTCCTCTGCCGGCGCTGGCGATGTAGTTAGGCTTTCTCAATTTCGGGCTTGGTTCTGATGATCCAGGTTACAGGTTCTAGGGTCAAAAGAATGAACAATGAAATCTTAGGATCCAAACCTCCTAAATGTTAGATATGACCATATTGCTAGTTTTGACAGGTATTCGTTACCCTAAGAACTTAAATATCTAGCTTTACATTTAAAAGTTTGATTAAAGCAAAGAAACTAAATTGCACTACAGAAGTCTTTCTGTCTAGATAGCATCTTCTGGCAAAGAGAAGGGCAAAAATACTGTTAACCAATTTTGAAGAAGAAAGAACAGTGGTTTAAAGAGCTAAGCAAGGGCAGGATAATGTTTTGAAAGCTAGGAAGATGAAATTGTATGAATTACTGTCAAATGTTCTAAAGCTAGGGGGAATAATCCTTTAGAGGGAAGGTGTGGAAGAAAAGATGATTAATTGTGAAAGGGAAAGCCCCAGAGGCAAGAGAAATTGCAATTACTTTAGGTTAAGGGGGGAAAAGTGTGTATCTAAAGACTTAACAAAAACAAGAATACTGAATTTCATTTCTTGTTCTTTTACAATGTGAAATAAGCATTTATACATGATTAATATATTTCTTGAAGAATGTTCTCTATTTAGCACAATCCCCATTTATGTGATTGGGAGATGCCTTTTTTCTACTGAAGTGAATGAATAAATACCTTGAGAAAATGCCACGGTTTCTACTTGGTAGTAAAATAATGATTTAAATGCTGTTGAAAATGCATTGTCAACCTAAAGCTTGTGATTTCTAGGTTTTTCTATCCAGTGCCTTCATATTAAGACCTTATTCAACCAAAGCGATTATCTTCCATTTTCAACTAACACTTTTTCTAATGGTAACATTATAGTTGTATTCATTTTTGTTTTTGACACTTGGAATTGGCTTCTATTAGTGTAACTGCATATGTAAGCAGTTCACTGTGATGTAATCTTGAATGTAACATGGAACAATTATGTCATTAAAAACAAATTTGGAACATGTATCAACAATCCCAGAGGCACTAAATTTAATTCCCTTTTATCTTTAGCTATTTTAAAGGGTTTAAATTCTCCTGCTTCTGGTATTTCCATTAAATCTTACAGCAATTAGTTTCAACAGATGGGACCTGGGGCTTTGATTCCAAATAGTTTTTTTGTTTGTTTTTTTAATCCTCCATTTCTAAGTAGAAGCTACTTATTTGGAATAGGAGACTTTTACCATTTTGAACTAAAAGAGGAAACAAATATAAAAAGTCTGCGTTTCCAACATATACCCTTCTTCCCTTGTGTCTCAGGATATCTTTGTTCATGCTTCACTATTATCGTTAGTTTACCAGGGCAGGAAACCTCTGAAGTGGTCAAGATACTACACCCAGTGGATTAATAAAATATGTATGATAAGAAAAAATAGGCCCTTTACTAGTTGCTAAATCATTTTAAATAGAATATCCTTTCCTTAAACACTTGGCCAGAAGAATCTTGAAAAACCATAGTTGGGAGGAATGTTGGTGGTTTGGAATCATATTTTTGTGCTGTAATGTAAATGTTTTAAGAAAAAGAAAAAAATTGAGCTTGATTAACAGTGGGTCTTAGATTACCACACCCTCTAAATTGAAGTCCATTCATTCTTAAAACATATTTGTTGACCAATACTGTACAAGTTTCTTTGGAAAACAGTGACAAAATTCCAACCTAGGAAGGGATGAGTGATCATATGTAGAGAATTTTTTTCTCCTTTCCTCAAGTAGCATAAAATCAAGAAGCAAGCTGGAAAAAACTAGAAAGCACATCAGGAAAAATTAGATATGGCCGCAAACAATGTGGAGGCACCGTTATTCAGAGGATTCTTGGAGAATGGAAGCTTCTTCAGCTAGGTTCTAAACAGTGATAAATGTGAGTCGGTGAACAGTGTGGAATGTCATTGTTAGGCTGGTGACAGGGTGGCCCAGGCAAAGGGACAACATGCAGGGAATAATAAGGGAACAGCCACAAATGGTCTGTATGGGCGGATGTTGGGCCTGTTGTCTCAGTTCCTTGGGAGACTGAAACAAGAGGCTCACTTGAGCCCAAGACTTCAAGACCAGCCCAGGCAACGTAAGGAGACCCCATCTCACAAAGGTAAGAGGGAGAGAAGAGGGAAGGGAGGGGGAAAAGTTGAACTGGGTATGGCTATAACAAGGGAAGAGATGAAATATATATATATATATATATATATATATATATATATATATATATTGGGGCTGGGGATTTACCTCAGTGGTTCTGTCGCCTACCTCGCAAACACAGGGTCCCAGTTCAATCCCTGGTACCAAAAAAAGAAAGTCACTTAAAAAAAAAAAAAAATATATATATATATATATGCTTTACATACACCATTTATCCACAAATCTTTGTTGTTTTTAACTGCAAAAGTCCAGGGGTGCAGGTGCATTTGGCTTTAGGCAAGGAAGGAACTCAAATTACAACACAGGCGCTCCTCTCTGGATGTTTCTCTGCCTTCCTGCCCCTGTAGCTATTCTCTGGGAGGTCTGATCACGTGCTGTGTGAGTTGCTTTCCCGTCGCTGAGACAAAATACCTGACCCCAAGTTAAAGGGGGAGAGGTTTATTTGGCTTACTGTTTGCAGAGATTTCAGTCCATAATTGTCTGGCTCCAAGGCAGGGTGGCAGAGGGGCACCAGTTCAGGGAGGTGGAAGACACTAAAAACAACAAAGGACCTTATGTCAGAGGGACATCACAGAGGAGAAACAGTGCATGCACGGTAGCCAAAGCAACAAGGGACCGTAACAGTGTCTTTCTGCTCCTTTTATCTTATTCAGAGTACTGGGATTTGGGCAGTGCCAAACCAGTCACTCACATGTAGTGGCTTAGTAATCACACGCCCTTAATCCCAGCATCACACACTAGATTCACCCACCTCCGACTGCATGAAGCTTCAGGGGGACTTCCAGACCCAAACCATAATATGTGCTCACTGCCAGAACCAGAGGACGTGGTCAGAAAGTGATTCTCCAGAGGACTGTGGGCACATGTACAAAATACAGTAGGCCTGGCCAGGGGATTTTGCCCAGTGGCACCCCGCCTGCCTGGCAAGCACAAGGTCCTGAGTTTAATTTCCGGTACTAGAGAAAAAAAAAAAAAAGTTTCCTATAAACATAAGAACAACCAAAATACAGTAGGCCCAGTATGCATACTGCATTTCACTTACTAATTTATGAAATAAGTATCATTATTATCCTCATTACCCATATAAACTAGAGCCAAGAAATTTGGATATACCAAGAAGAATTGACTATAGGTAATTAAGCATTAGGAAAATAAAAAGGCATTAACCAAAATGATGAAAGAGGTAGTAGAGAAAAGGGAAGGGAAGGATCGAATTAGAAGACAAATCAGCAATTTGATGTCTGATTGAACAAAAAGATCAAAAGTGAATCTCAGTTCAAACTTGAGAGGTTTTCTTAAAAAGAAGCAGCAAAGGGTTGGTTGTTCTGTCGGAGTTGGGCCTGAGGTTGGAGGAGATTACAAGATCAGCTCAAGTTTTCTGAAGCCTCTTTTGGTCACCCTAAAATACATGTCCATTCTCTGGCTATGTATGAACTGCTGTCAGGTTCTGTTTTCTGCATGTGAAGGCCACACAGGTGAAGAGGGTGAACCTAATCACAAGGAGGAAGCGAGCGTGTCAGTAAGTGGAACATGCCACAGGATATAAACACCTCAAGAGAGGCAGGCAGGGCTGGGAGGCGAGGGAAAGCTGCGAAGAGCAGGGGCCAGTTAGAAAGATGGCTGAGGGAGGGTGGCCCAGCCCGAGCCGCCAGCACGAGCAACATTGCAACAGATTGAGCTTCGGAGATCTCGTTGGCTTTTATTAGCAATTTGTGAAGTGGACAGCTTCCAGTCTACAAAATAGAAAGCAGCTCCAATGAGCTAAATGAGAATGGGTGAGTTTTATTGGCAGAATAAAAAGCTGAGGAAAGCAGGAAGAATGAATGAATAGTGGATTGGTCTTTTCATAGTTACTTTCTTTATGGGGATGTAAACAAAATATGGTTGGTTTAATGGGATTTGGTGAACACCTCCTGATTTCTTTGAAGATCACATCTTACAAGTAAACAGTTAAAAAAAAAAAAAAAAAAGCAAGTAAACAGTTTAAACTGGGTGTGGTGGCCCAGGCCTGTAATCCCAGCACTTGGGAGGCTGAGGCAGGAGGATCCCTGGAGTTGGAGGCCAGTTTGGGCTACACAGTGAGTTCAAGGCCACCTGCACTACAGAGTGAGACCCTGTCTGAAAAAAACCCCATAATAGGCCTGGGGATTTAGCTCAGTGGTGGTGCCGCCTGCCTTGGAAGCACAAGGTCCTGAGTTCAGTCCTTGGTGCCAAAAAAAAAACAAACCCAAAAAACCCCCAAAATAAATAAAAAACAAGTGTAGGCTCAGGTCGGCTTGTGGCTTCTCCACAAGTAAACGGTTTAGGTTTGGGTTTGGTGATATGGAACCTTAGTGTGAGTGACTCCATTTGGGGCCTGCTCTCTTTAACAGGCAGAACACCCTAAAGGTGGTTCGGGAAACCCTCGGTTATCCTGTTTGATGCAAAACTGAGTGATGTGGCGGGGAAGGCTGGAAAGGTGAAATCAAGTCGAAGCATGGAGCCTGCCAGCTAGGGAAACAGACCTGAAGGAGTAGTAGGTAGTACAGGGAACAGGAAGTGACTGGAATATTTTTTTCATGCTTTAATATTCGTGAAGATAAGAAAACGTGGTATAAGCAAAATATGTGCACCCATGTTTATAGCGGCACAGTTTGTAGTAGCTAAACCTTGGAAACAGCCCAAATGCCCACCAACTGGAGACTGGATAAAGAAGATGTGGTCTTTATACAATGGAGTACCACTCTGCCATAAAGAAGGACGAGCTTCAGATATTTATAGCTAAATGGATGCGCCTTGAGACCGTACTCTTAAGTGAAATAAATCAGACACACGTGTGTAAATACTACATTGTTTCTCTGGTGTGAGAAACTGAAAGTGGACATAAGGACTGAGATGTATAATGGATGCTGGGAAATGGGAAGAAAATGTTCAAATGGGAAGGGGAACAAGGGAAGAAGAATGGAGGAAGGAAGTGACAAGAAAAAAAGTGAAAGTAGAAGGAAAAAAATGGAAACAAACCTTTTGTACATAGGGAGGGGAGAAGGCTTAAGGGGGGAATGGGATAAAATAAAATAAAATTTTTTAAAAAAACAATGAAAAGAAAATGTGGTACAGTATGGTTTAAATTATCCATCTAGTATGGCTTAGATCATCCTCTTTGGACTTGAATCTACCATATACTCTGTGGAACACTAAACTACAGCAAGCAAGCAGCATGTAACAAGCATAGATCATTCAACCTGACCTAGTGTCTTTTTTCAAACTTTAATTAGTATTTCTATTAAATCCTAAGTTCCTAACTGTGAATGAAGCCAGGAAACCCTAAAATATCTTACTCCCATATTTTAGCCAAAGAACCAGTCCTACAAGTAGCCATGTTCTTGATGTCATTTTGTTAATAAGAGAAGAAAATACCCAACAATAATAGCACGTACCAAGCCAGCACCTGCATTTTAAACAAGATTCCCTTAGGTGATTCATATGCATATTAAAGTTGAAAGATGGTAGATTAGAGGGTATTAGAGAATTCCAGGATGAAGCTATTTTAAGGCCCTTGCATTGTCTGGGAAGAGGGTAACACTAGATTCCTATTAGCCTTTGATTAGTTAAGAATATATAATGTGACAAAATGCATGTTCCCATTTATTTGAAAATGCAAAGTGGAGGTGGTGGAGAAGAGCACTGTCTTAGTCACTTTCTTTTCTCTGGGACACGATATCTGACACCCAAGACTTAAAAGGTAGACAGAGATTTATTTTGGCTCACGGTTTCCGAGGTCTCAGTCCATGCATGGTCAGCCAGCTCAAAGGGAAAATGACAAGGTGGAAGGTCTGGTGGAGCAAAGCTGCTCACGTCATGGTGGCCAGAAAGGAGAAGGGAGGAGCCAGGGAGGGAGATGTACTCTTGCAGGTCACGCCACAGGTGACCCACCTCCAACCAGGCCCCGCCTCCTAACATCGGCTATACCACCCCTGTAATACAACTACCTCCCAGAAATCCTGCCTCTAAATGCATGAGGCTTTAGGGGATATTCTAGGTCCAAACCATGACCAGCATCATAAAGGGCATGCAGGACCTTTTAGGAGTAGTGTGTACATGTGTCAAAACCGATCAAGCTACAAAATAGCTTTTTTTGTTTATTTTATATAATTTTACCATAAATAAGTTGCAATATTTAAACTAAATAAAAGGATGAAAAAATAACTGTATTTCACAAGCTAATAAGAAGGAAAAGTGAATCACAAAAACAAGCCAAAAACCCCTCAACCAAACAAAAAGACCAGGAAAGAAGAAAGAATAAGGGCCGGGGATTTAGCTCAGTGGTGCCACTGCCTGCCTTGCAAGCACAAGGGCCTGAGTTTGATTCCTGGTACCAAAAAAAAAAAAAGAAAAGAAAGAATATAAGAGCATAGTAAAGGTAGAAAATAATAAAACGATGGCTGATTTGTTTGTTTGTTTGTTTGTTTGCAGGGCTGGGGATTGAACGAACCCTGGAGCATGCTAGGCAACATCTAAGCCATACCCCAGCCCAAATGATGTCAGATTTAAACTCAGTTTTTATCATCTACTTTTTTTTTTTTTCTGGTACCAGGGATCAAACTCGGAACCTTGTGCTTGTGAGGCAGGCGCTGGAACCACTGAGCTAAATCCCCGGCCCTATCATCTACTTTTTTATAGTGTAGAAAAGAGCAGTACAATGAGTGAGACATTTCTGGATAAGTTTAATGATAGATGGTTAAGATAGGTGATTTGGGCGCACGCATTAGAGAATCCCCCCCCCGCCAAAAAAAAACTTCACTTAATATGTTAGTAAAGAAAAATCCACAAGAATAAAGCAAACGAGGGAACCTCAGTGCTTGAGCCAATGCCAGCACTATGCCCTTGAAATTCCAAAACAGTAAGTCAAAACAAACCTCTTTATTAACTACCCTCAGGCATCTCTTTATAGTAGTAAAAAGTGGACTCATAAAA